TTTGAAACACTTACGCTTCTATTTTTCGGAAATGACATTTTACTTCGAATAAAAATATGGCAGTATTCGGATATCTCTTCGAATTGAAGGCAGAACAAAGTTTACACACACAAACAATACAAATACATTGACAGAATAGTTCTTATACAAACAATGAAAATGTTATAGAATAGCAGTCTTTGCTGAACCAAAATATTTCATAAAGCAAAGAAAGTTGGTATAACTGAAATGGTGAAAGTTCTTGAAGCAGACAAAAATATAACAACAAAACTTACAGATATTTCTAAAGAAAGTTTATAATACAATTTTATGTCAAAACAGGTGTACTGTCAATATTTGACGGAGAGAAGTCAGTTCAAGAACAACTTACTGACCTGCTGCCAAAATCTGCTCGATGGAAGCTGTCGTTATGCCAATCTGAGGAGCCCAGCAGGTTTCATCGAACGAATCTTCAAAAGAGCATCTTCCGTGAAAAGTGCTATTGTTTTGTAAACTTCTTTGCTCTCAGTTCATTATGGACCGTCTCTGTCACCAGTATATTGTATTTGTACAGTACCAACAGTTGAAATACCACCCATAAAGTCTTCTGAGTCAGCAAATGGAATGCCAAGCCAAAAGTTTGAACGGTCTCCATTTGTATATTGAGTTTTTTGACTTCCTGTATGGGTCCATACTTTCACATATGGCATAATAGAACTTTGCATTTCAGGGTTAATGGTTGTTGTGAAGTTGTTGTTAAAGTTCATAGCATCTAATGTCAAGTTGTATGACCTCATATCCTCAACTGTAGAATATTCTTCTCTTGGATAATATTTGCCATCTATGTTTATATGATATTTAATACCAGGGTTGTAGAAACAAGAATAGTCATTTATAGTTCGTCTGAACAGTACAAACATAGTATCTGCGTTTTCATTGCAGTTGTTAAAGCAATATCTGTTCTTGCACCTGCGGTTCCTGGATTTTGGTTTCCAACTTCACCTGCAAAGTCTTTGACAGATATTTGGTGTATAGGGAACATAAGTGGAACTGCAATATATTTGGCAGCTAAAGCATTTGAAATATCTGGGTCCAACATATAGACTGCAAGTCTGCTTTCTATTCTCTTGCATTCAAATTTTTCGCATGTAAACCTAACTGGGTCCCAAGCAGTTCCAGCAGCATTGAAATAATACTTTACTTCAGTGTTGAGGTTTGAGAAACCAAAGTCTAAGTCAACTTTGTCTTTGCAAAATTCGGCGAATGACGTTTGATTTGCTCCTTTACGTCTGTAAGAGTGAATGGGTCTTGCGTTGGTGCAATGACTAAGTTATTTTTGCTTGGAGTAAGTTCAATAGAAATTTTTCCTGCCCAGTTTGGCAAGTATCTTAAAAACCTGAAGATGAGGAAAGATGACAAAGGAACTCTAAGTTTCAGTTTTACTTTAGTGACAGCATTTCCATCTGAACCAGAAAGGTTAACATAAACTCCTGGAACGTTAGGGTCAAGTCTTCTTATTTTCTCAATAGTTGCATATTGGTCTGTTTGTTCTCTAGCTTGTGGTTGTACTGAGTTTCTCAAAGCGAACCATTCATAGTTTGCCCATGTTACTGTTTGAACTAAGTCAGAGTTAGAATATATCTTATATCCCATGAAAACTTCTGGAGCATATTGGTATCCGACATAGAAAATACCATTGCAACCTTTCTTACCTCTTCAAGTCAGCAGAAGGTTTTATTTCAATGTCTTGTTCCACGTATAAGAATGAGTTGTCAATAGAAATTATATGAAACCTGTCGCAAGCAATATCTACTGTTGTTGAAGAACCTTCACCAAACTCACCTACATTTCCATAAGAAACAGCAGTTGTATATTCGTAAGTTCCAGGAACTATTTCTGACCTTCTAATGGCATTGTCGCATTCGTTATACCATTCGGAAACATTTCCATTCATGGCATCCAAAACTGTTGGCGTTATATTCTGAGCGGCGTACATTTCATATGGGTAAAAATATAGAATAGTTGGATTTATATATCATAATAGAACCCACGTGGACCAAGCTTTACTTTCTTCCTGACTGAGTTTTTAACTCTTCTTTTTCCTTCATTGCCACTACTTTCACTAGATGAAGTTACTTCTTCACTACTTTCACTTTGTTCTACTCTTCTCTTCTTCTTTGGTGTCGCTTTTGGTAACTTGCCCTCTGCTTCAAGTTGTTGCATCTTTGCCTCATGTTCACCTAGTATGTTGTAAATTTCCCATGTCCTTTTTGCCTTTGGGCTCTGGTCGCCCATCTCAGGTAACCTATATCCTAGAAAGATTTTGTCATAGTTTGTATTTGAGTCTTCGCTTATTGTTTGCATGACTCTTTCCTGAGTTTCCGGTTCAAGCTCTTCAAATATAGCTTGTCCATATGGAATAAGCTCGTTTCCAAATATATGTTTTTGTAGCCATTCTGGTTTTCTTTCCATGTTACCAACAATATCTTTTGTGAATGGGAAAGCTTTTACCCAACGTTTCAGTCTTGCGTCATTTATTTCTGTAGTTGGTTTTATTTTGTCAAGGAACATGTTTTTCAATACTAACATTTCATTTGGTACTGTCCATTTGAGTTTTCTTAAATATTCATCCCTTCTCGGTTCATTGTCTGCAAAGTAAGTTTTTATGACATTTTGTAAACTTTCGTTTGCAAGGTCATGTACAATAGGTTCTCTTCCTTCTGTCTCCCTAACTTTCTTTCTAAACTCTTCACCAAATATACCATCTTTATGGTTCTGTGTAGTTCTTTGAGATAAATGTTCTAGAACGTCAGGTGTTATATTTCCATCAGCCATGTTCATTTCATACTGGTCCAAAATATCTGCATCTTTCATATCTTTCAATGGCATTAAAGCCGCGCTGAAAATACCAGCTAAATCTGGTTCACCATTCATTTCCATTGCGTCTACAACATCTTGGAATTGTGGTTGTAAGTTTATGAACCACCTATCCGGGTTAGCTTTATGACCCCATCTCATTGTAGTTCCATAGTCTGCAGAAACAAAAGTAGGTTTGTTTCCATATTGGTTAGGTTCTGAATGAACTTTAAACAATGTTTCATTTCTATATGTTTTGTTGAAATTTAACCTTTTATTTTCACCGAGTTCAGCCAAAGATTGAACGTTATATGCTCGTAAGTAAAAAGGGTTGTTGTATTTGTGTACATTTTCTTTCAGTACTTCCATTCTATGCTGAATATTTTCATCTGGTGTTGGAGTCTTTTGTATGTCGGCAAACATTTTTCGATATTCTTCTACCATGTCAGCCGAATTTTTCTTAGACTCTTGGAAAGATTCCATATTCACCTCATACTCTTGTTGAGGGTCAAGATTTTTCGGCTGTTCCAAATCTTCATCTGGTTCTGTGAAGTTAGTTTCCAAAGGAGGGACTTGTTCGTTTCCTTCAGGCTCTTCTAGCTGTTGTTGCTGAACTATTTCTTCCATGTCTGGTTGTATCTGAACTTCTTCCTGTGGAGTTTCTTGTACCTCATCTGCTGGCATTTCATATATTCCGAGACCGTTTTTAACAAGTTCCCTATCTAAGTCATCCGCATTCATAACCCTTTCTTCTTTCGTTCCGTCTCTATTTTTTACGCGTTTCATGAAGATAGTTGAATCATCATTTATCTCTGACACCAAATATCTCGGAGTAAATTCGTTCATGTCATTTGGATGATATGCTATTAAATCATATCCCTTAGCGAGCTTGTATTTTCCAGGTTTGAAATTATATCCCATTTGGTGCTGAACCATAAAGCTAAATAGGTTCGGGTCAGTATTTCCTTCCTTGAACTTTCGAATAGCTTCTTTATATCTGTCACTAAAGTCAAGAGTATCTGGGTAACCATAATTTTCCTTAAGCATTTTTAAGAATTCTTGGTTTCCTTGTTCTCTACTTCTTTTATGTCCTTGCTCTGTTTGTGGTTGTTGTGGTGCAGTGTTTTGAACTGTTGGTTGTTGTGCTGGTTGTGGAGGTGGTTGTTGTGCTGGTTGTTGTTGTGGTGCTGGATTTTGAACTGTTGGTTGTTGTGTTGGTTTTGGTGCATGCCTGTGTCTGTGTCCATGTGACGATGTAAATGTTTTAGGTAGTCCTGGTGCAGGTGCTTCTCTTGGAGGGTTTGGTGGTATATAAGTTCCACTAGCTAGTATATAAGTTCCACCAGCTGGTATATAAGTTCCACCAGCTGGCACATATGTTCCATCTGCAGCATAGTGTCCTACCTGACTTTTCGTTTTTAAGAAAGCATTTACTAGGTCTGTTTTGGTCTGTTGTAACTCTTTTTCTTGACTTTCCACAACAGTTGCTCTAACGGCGTCATAGGCACTTTGAACTGCCTGTCTCGTTGCTGCATCTGTTATTTTCGTTATATTTTGTGCTACTTCTTTTAACTCTTTGTCGAAACCTTCAGACTTCAGTTTCTTTCCAGATGAGAAGTCGTTCACTTGTTTCACCTTACTATGAAGAGCTTCGAAGGCGTTCTTAAAGTCAGCATTTGTTAAAGCTTCATTTGAACTGTCTTCATCCGCTTGTATTTTTGTCCTTATTGACCCTATAAGTTGGGCTGCTTTAGCGTTGGCTTGGGCATCTAACCAGTCATTGTTAGCTTTTATATATTCTGCGCTTTTCATTGCCTTTTGCATGGCTGCGTCGTTATTTTTACTTTCTTGTGCTAAGTTTTCATACTGTACGGTTTGGTTTTGCAACTGTAAAGTTTTTCTGCCTTTACATTTGCTTCAACTTCTTTTTTATACTCATCGCTATCCATATATGTCTTCAGGGCTTTTTGTTTTATCTCTTCATCTTTCAGTACTTTATATTGAGTAGTATGGTTTTCAAATTTACAACATCTTGTTCCATTTTTGCTACTTCTGCTGCTTTTTCTGACACTTTTTTCGCATATTCCTCTGTACTTAGTTCTTTCAGTTGTTCTTCTTTCTTCTTTTTCTCTACGTTTAACTCATTGAGTTTCTTTGTGTGTCTGTCATATTCTAGTTTCTTTTCGTTTTCACTTATTTGCTTCTGTATGTCTATGTTTGACTTTTTGACATCTGATATTTGATTTTTGAGTGAACTCAAATTCATTTGACTTTGAGGGTTATAGGCTGTTCCGTCTGCGGCTCCACCATAGCCTGCCATTTTCGCTAAAAGTGCCGCTCTTAAACCTCCACTCTGTGCACCAAGAACTCGGTTTAAGAGCATAGGGTTGCTTGACATTTGTTGCAACATAGTGGGGTCATTCAGCATTTGTTGTTGCAACTGTTGTTGTGGTGTCAGTTTTACTATTGGATGTTTCAATGCTCCCTTCCTCTTACGTATATTCTTACGTAGCTTACGTGGCATTTTAAGTGAAGTAAAAAACGGTTTTTGACAGATGTTTATATGACACTTTTTGTTCAGCACAAAAAACTACTCGGTCAAAGTGTTGTCAGTTTTGTAAAATAACCGTCCTATCTCATTCTATAAGGGAGAAAAGGCTTCTCAAAGTATACTTCCTTGGAACGCCTGTAACTTTTCCTGTAGCGACGATAGATCCTTACTTGTCCGGACAAAGTTATACTATTTTGAGTGCTCTACAAAAAAAGTCAACGGCGACGACTCTCAAAAATTTTTTATGGGCTAGAGGGCACGAAGTGCCTGGAGGCCCATCCAAAGAAAAAAAAAAACTTCAGGGCTAGAGGGCACGAAGTGCCTGGAGGCCCCACTACCTTTTTTTTTTTTTTTTTTTTTTTTATTTCATTATATTTTCTTTCTTTTCATATTAATCATTATTTTATAGAATTCTCTTTCATTTTATATTTATCATTGTTTAATATAAGGATGCCGTTTTGCGAATAGTGTCACTTTTATAGCACTAATTTTAGGTATCTTGCGTGCGACTTAAAATATCTAAAAAATTTTTACCTCGCATTCGGAAAAGACCTTCGCCTTCGGCTCCGGCCTTTTCCGAATGCTCGGCTATAAAGTTCATTCTATGCACGCCGCCCTTTTTCCTTTTTTTTTCTTCTTCTTTCTTTTTCTCTCTTCTTTTTCTTTCTCTTTTCTTTCTTTTCTTCTTCTCTCCCTCTCTCTTTGTTTTTCTTTTTCATTAAAATTGAATTTTTATTTCAATAATTATTACTTAAATAGGTTTCAGAATAGGCAAACCTTTAATAAATAGAAATTTTTGTGGATTCTGAATGTTCAAATTGAGAAATATCCAATTGTGGAATCATATTTTAAAAATGTTAAGATTTTATGAAGAAAAATGTCATTTCCTATTGCTGTACTGTAATGTAGTTACCAGATCATGGAAGAAATTTTCATAAAAAATATATTTCGCTAGCGAAATCAACACATATTCATGATATCCACTTCGGAAAATGATATAATTGAGTTTTGCATTTGAAATATTTAATATTTTCATAAAAATCTATTGAATAAAATTATCTAATTTTTGATTTGAAAGAATTCTATCGTGAAATTTTGAAAGTATCATTAACAATCCGAGAGCAATATGATGGAACAGTTATATCATTAATAGCAACTATAGGATATTTGACAATCGCAAATCGCATTTTTGACAAAATATCATGGGGGTTCTATAAGCTTACCTATATATGTAGATTCCAAAAATCATAAAATAAAAACGTGCGATTCTGACAAAAACCCGGCCAAATAGCACGAAAAATTGAATGGAAGTAGCAACTTCACTAAAAATCAATAAAATCGTGAAATTTATTATTTATTTGATACCTTTAAACTAGTGTTCACCGAAAAAATGGAAATATCATAAATATTATTATTCTCATTTTTAAAAAGTGCCAATAAAGCGAGGTAGAAAAGTGCCAAAAATCGTGATATAGGATATTTGGAGAAAGTTGCTAGCATATCCGTTTTTTTCGCAAAGCGACATCCTTAATTTAATAGAATTCTCTTTCTTTTCATAATTATCATTGTTTTATGAAATTTTCTTTCTTTTCACATTTATCATCGTTTTATCACATTTTCTTTCTTTTCATATTTATCAATAGGTCAGGTATGAGGGGCTTCCAGGGGCTGCGCCCCTTCTAGCCCTAAGAAATTTTGCCCAAGACCCAAGAGGAGGACCGAACCCCAGCCGACCAGCCGTTGACTTTTTTGTAGAGCACTCAAAATAGTATAACTTTGTCCGGACAAGTAAGGATCTATCGTCGCTACAGGAAAAGTTACAGGCGTTCCAAGGAAGTATACTTTGAGAAGCCTTTTCTCCCTTATAGAATGAGATAGGACGGTTATTTTACAAAACTGACAACACTTTGACCGAGTAGTTTTTTGTGCTGAACAAAAAGTGTCATATAAACATCTGTCAAAAACCGTTTTTTACTTCACTTAAAATGCCACGTAAGCTACGTAAGAATATACGTAAGAGGAAGGGAGCATTGAAACATCCAATAGTAAAACTGACACCACAACAACAGTTGCAACAACAAATGATGAATGACCCCACTATGTTGCAACAAATGTCAAGCAACCCTATGCTTTTAAACCGAGTTATTGGTGCACAGAGTGGAGGTTTAAGAGCGGCACTTTTAGCGAAAATGGCAGGCTATGGTGGAGCCGCAGACGGAACAGCTTATAACCCTCAAAGTCAAATGAATTTGAGTTCACTCAAAAATCAAATAACAGATGTCAAAAAGTCAAACATAGACATACAGAAACAAATAAGTGAAAACGAAAAGAAACTAGAATATGACAGACACACAAAGAAACTCAATGAGTTAAACGTAGAGAAAAAGAAGAAAGAAGAACAACTGAAAGAACTAAGTACAGAGGAATATGCGAAAAAAGTGTCAGAAAAAGCAGCAGAAGTAGCAAAAATGGAACAAGATGTTATAAATTTGAAAAACCATACTACTCAATATAAAGTACTGAAAGATGAAGAGATAAAACAAAAAGCCCTGAAGACATATATGGATAGCGATGAGTATAAAAAAGAAGTTGAAGCAAATGTAAAGGCAGAAAAACTTTTACAGTTGCAAAACCAAACCGTACAGTATGAAAACTTAGCACAAGAAAGTAAAAATAACGACGCAGCCATGCAAAAGGCAATGAAAAGCGCAGAATATATAAAAGCTAATAATGACTGGTTAGATGCCCAAGCCAACGCTAAAGCAGCCCAACTTATAGGGTCAATAAGGACAAAAATACAAGCGGATGAAGACAGTTCAAATGAAGCTTTAATGAATGCTGACTTTAAGAATGCCTTCGAAGCTCTTCATAGTAAGGTGAAACTAGTGAACGACTTCTCATCTGGAAAGAAACTGAAGTCTGAAGGTTTCGACAAAGAGTTAAGAGAAGTAGCACAAAATATGACGAAAATAACAGATGCAGCAACGAGACAGGCAGTTCAAAGTGCCTATGACGCCGTTAGAGCAACTGTTGTGGAAAGTCAAGAAAAAGAGTTACAACAGACCAAAACAGACCTAGTAAATGCTTTCTTAAAAACGAAAAGTCAGGTAGGACATTATGCTGCAGATGGAACATATGTGCCAGCTGGTGGAACTTATATACCAGCTGGTGGAACTTATATACTAGCTAGTGGAACTTATATACCACCAAACCCTCCAAGAGAAGCACCTGCACCAGGACTACCTAAAACATTTACATCGTCACATGGACACAGACACAGGCATGCACCAAAACAACAACAACAACCAACAGTTCAAAATCCAGCACCACAACCAACAGTTCAAAACACTACACAACAACCAACAGTTCAAAACCCTGCACAACAACAACCACAAACAGAGCAAGGACATAAAAGAAGTAGAGAACAAGGAAACCAAGAATTCTTAAAAATGCTTAAGGAAAATTATGGTTACCCAGATACTCTTGACTTTAGTGACAGATATAAAGAAGCTATTCGAAAGTTCAAGGAAGGAAATACTGACCCGAACCTATTTAGCTTTATGGTTCAGCACCAAATGGGATATAATTTCAAACCTGGAAAATACAAGCTCGCTAAGGGATATGATTTAATAGCATATCATCCAAATGACATGGATGAATTTACTCCGAGATATTTGATGTCAGAGCTAAATGATAATTCAACTCTCTTCATGAAACGCGTAAAAAATAGAGACGGAACGAAAGAAGAAAGGTTTATGAGTCCGGATGACTTAGATAGGGAACTTTTTAAAAACGGTCTCGGAATATATGAAATGCCAGCAGATGAGGTACAAGAAACTCAACAGGAAGAAGTTCAGATACAACCAGACATGGAAGAAATAGTTCAGCAACAACAGCTAGAAGAGCCTGAAGGAAACGAACAAGTTCCTCCTTTGGAAACTAACTTCACAGAACTAGATGAAGATTTGGAACAGCCGAAAAATCTTGACCCTCAACAAGACTATGAGGTGAATATGGAATCTTTCCAAGAGTCTAAGAAAAATTCGGCTGACAGAGTAGAAGAATATCGAAAAATGTTCACCGACATACAAAAGACTCCAACATCAGATGAAAATATTCAGCATAGAATGGAAGTACTGAAAGAAAATGTACGCAAATACAATAATCCTTTTTACTTACGACCATATAACGTTCAATCTTTGGCTGAACTCGGTGAAAATAAAAGGTTAAATTTCAACAAAACATATAGAAATGAAACATTGTTTAAAGTTCATTCAGAACCTAGCCAATATGGAAACAAACCTACTTTTGTTTCTGCAGACTATGGAACTACAATGAGATGGGGTCATAAAGCTAATCCGGATAGGTGGTTCATAAACTTACAACCTCAATTCCAAGAAGTTGTAGACGCAATGGAAGTGAATGGTGAACCAGATATAGCTGGTATTTTCAGCGCGGCTTTAATGCCATTGAAAGATATGAAAGATGCAGATATTTTGGACCAGTATGAAATGAACATGGCTGAGGGAAATATAACACCTGACGTTCTAGAACATTTATCTCAAAGAACTACACAGAACCATAGAGATGGTATATTTGGTGAAGAGTTTAGAAAGAAAGTTAGGGAGAGAGAAGGAAGAGAACCTATTGTACATGACCTTGCAAACGAAAGTTTGCAAAATGTCATAAAAACTTACTTTGCAGACAATGAACCGAGAATGGATGAATATTTAAGAAAACTCAAATAGACAGTACCAAATGAAATGTTAGTATTGAAAAACATGTTCCTTGACAAAATAAAACCAACTACAGAAATAAATGACGCAAGACTGAAACATTGGGTAAAAGCTTTCCCATTCACAAAAGATATTATTGGTAACATGGAAAGAAAACCAGAATGGCTACAAAAACATATATTTGGAAACGAGCTTATTCCATATGGACAAGCTCTGTTTGAAGAGCTTGAACCGGAAACTCAGGAAAGAGTCATGCAAACAATACGCGAAGACTCAAATACAAACTATGACAAAATCTTTCTAGGATATAGGTTACCTGAGATGGGCGACCAGAGCCCAAAGGCAAAAAGGACATGGGAAATTTACAACATACTAGGTGAACATGAGGCAAAGATGCAACAACTTGAAGCAGAGGGCAAGTTACCAAAAGCGACACCAAAGAAGAAGAGAAGAGTAGAACAAAGTGAAAGTAGTGAAGAAGTAACTTCATCTAGTGAAAGTAGTGGCAATGAAGGAAAAAGAAGAGTTAAAAACTCAGTCAGGAAGAAAGTAAAGCTTGGTACGAGTGGGTTCTATTATGACACATAAATCCAACTATTCTATATTTTTACCCATATGAAATGTACGCCGCTCAGAATATAACGCCAACAGTTTTGGATGCCATGAACGGAAATGTTTCCGAATGGTATAACGAATGCGACAATGCCATTAGAAGGTCAGAAATAGTTCCTGGAACTTACGAATATACAACTGCTGTTTCTTATGGAAACGTAGGTGAGTTTGGAGAAGGTTCTTCTGTTGTAAACGAAAACGATAAAAACGGCTTGACAGAAAAAGTGACACTTTACATGGCAAAAAATAGAGCCTTACTTTTGAGATACTTGAGATTGAAACTGAATCTTATGAGGCGGTGATCTTGAATCACTACCTCATAAGGTTCAGTTTCATATAAAATTTGTTGCAATTTGTTATTCTTTTGCAATTATTTCTTATAAGATTTTACATCTTTTAACGGGGAATGTTTGTTATCATGTATATATTATAAATATCTACACGATAACGAACATTCCTCGCTAAATTGCTGAGAAACTTTGAGGAAATGTCGAACAATTTCCTCAAAGTTTCTCAGATTTATATAGATCACTAGAGTCCCCTAGGCACTGATTCTGGTTCAGTACCTAGGAGGCTCTAGTTCTCTAACGAACTGATAAAATGTTTTTAAATTTTTGGATATTGCTACCTGTGAAGCACTGACTTCAAGTCAGTACCTCACAGGTAGCAATTACATTGAAAGATGGGAGAAACTTTGTCCGAATGTTAAACTATTCGGACAAAGTTTCTCCCATTTGTAGTGGAGATGGAAGGCTTTGAGGTATATTATATTAATGTATACCCCAAAGCCTTCCATCTCCACTTGAAAGTTCCAAAACTTTGGGTTAATAGTTTGCAATTAACCCAAAGTTTTGGAACTTTCTAGAAGGAATTGCAGGGTAAGAGGTACATATTCATACTATGTACCTCTTACCCTCCAATTCCTTCATTAACATAAACAAATTTGGAGTTAATTGTTTGCAATTAACTCCGGGTTTGTTGACCTCCAAATGAAAATGAAAGGGTAAGAGGTATATAGTGACCCTATATGCCTCTTACCATTTCATTCTCATTAATTATGGGAGAAACTTTGGCCGAATGTTAAATTATTCGACCAAAGTTTCTCCCATTTTTTGAAGGGATTGGAGGCTATGAGATACTGATGCAATGTCAGTACCTCATGGCCTCCAATTCCATCCTGAAACTGATCAAAGTGGACCTTACATGCATTTGAAATTTGCCATGTAAAGTCCACTTTTTGAGAGAGAGGATTTGACTGCGTCAAATCCTCTTTTTCGTTTACGAGACTTCAACAACAGTAGATATTGCTTGCGACAGGTTTCATATTATTTCTATTGACAACTCATTCTTATACGTGGAACAAGACATTGAAATAAAACCTTCTGCCAAGTTGTCTGACAAGAAAGGTTGCAATGGAATTTTCTATGTCGGATACCAATATGCTCCAGAAGTTTTCATGGGATATAAGATATATTCTAACTCTGACTTAGTTCAAACAGTAACATGGGCAAACTATGAATGGTTCGCTTTGAGAAACTCAGTACAACCACAAGCTAGAGAACAAACAGACCAGTATGCCACCATTGAGAAAATAAGAAGACTTGACCCTAACGTTCCAGGAGTTTATGTTAACCTTTCTGGTTCAGATGGAAATGCTGCCACTAAAGTAAAACTGAAACTTAGAGTTCCTTTGTCATCTTTCCTCATCTTCAGGTTTTTAAGATACTTGCCAAACTGGGCAGGAAAAATTTCTATCGAACTTACTCCAAGCAAAAATAACTTAGTCATTGCACCAACACAAGACCCATTCACTCTTACAGACGTAAAGGGAACAAATAAAACGTCATTCGCCGAATTTTGCAAAGACAAAGTTGACTTAGACTTTGGTTTCTCAAACCTCAACACTGAAGTAAACTATTATTTCAATGCTGCTGGAGATGCTTGGGACCCAGTTAAGTTCACATGCGAAAAATTTGAATGCAAGAGAATAGAAAGCAGACTTGCAGTCTATATGTTGGACCCAGATATTTCAAATGCTTTAGCTGCCAATATATTGCAGTTCCACTTATGTTCCCTATACACCAAATATCTTCAAAGACTTTGCAGTGAAGTTGGAAACCAAAGTGCTGACCCAGGTGCAAGAACAGATATTGCTTTAACAACTGCAATGAAACATGCAGATACTATGTTTGTACTGTTCAGACGAACTATAAATGACTATTCTTGTTTCTACAACCCTGGTATTAAATATCATATAACATAGATGGCAAATATTATCAAGAGAAGAATATTCTACAGTTGAGGATATGAGGTCATACAACTTGACATTAGATGCTATGAACTTTAACAACAACTTCACAACAACTATTAACCCTGAAATGCAAAGTTCTATTATGCCATATGTGAAAGTATGGACTCATACAGGAGGTCAAAAAACTCAATATACAAATGGAGACCGTTCAAACTTTTGGCTTGGCATTCCATTTGCTGACTCAGAAGACTTTATGGTGGTATTTCAACTGTTGGTACAGTTCAAATACAATATACTGGTGACAGAGACGGTCCAGATGAATTGAAAGCAAAGAAGTTTACAAAACCAATAGCACTTTTCACGGAAGATGCTCTTTTGAAGATTCGTTCGATGAAACCTGCTGGGCTCCTCAGATTGGCATAACGACAGCTTCCATCGAGCAGATTTTGGCAGCAGGTCAGTAAGTTGTTCTTGAACTGACTTTTCTCCGTCAAATATTGACAGTACGCCAGTTTTGACATAATATTGTATTATAAACTTTCCTTTAGTAATATCTGTAAGTTTTGAAGTTATATTTTTGTCTGCTTCAAGAACTTTCACCATTTCAGTATACCAACTTTCTTTGCTTTATGAAAATATTTAGTTCAGCAAAGACTGCTATTCTATAACATTTACCATTGTTTGTATAAAGAACTATTCTGTCAATGTATTTGTATTGTTTGTTGTGTGTTAAACTTTGTTTTGCTTCAATTCGAAGAGATACTCAAATACGTCCATCTTTTTATTCTAAGTAAAATGTCATTTCCGAAAAATAGAAGCGTAAGTGTTTCAAAAGGTTTAATGGCGGTGGCAGATGTGAAGTTAAATTCACCAACTCAAACAAACAGTCAAAGTGTTATTGTCAATGTCAAAGACAGAGATGTTGAAGTGGGGAAAACCATACGAAGACGAAGATGGTATAACAATTGTTCCTGTAAAAGAACCAACATACCTGAAGTTAGCAGAGACTTAAGTTCTGTTGCAGATATTCGAAATGACTACCAACAACTGAAAGACAAACTTCAAACTCAGGAGAAGATTTGTCAAGCTTTAAGATATAATGTTAAACTTGGTCGAACACAACCCTGTAAAAGTGAACTCATATGTCATTGCACCTCATGAAGTCTTGAAAGAACTATGAAACTTTTGACAGAGGCAGACGATATAAACATCAAAGAAATAGAACCCGACATTAGTTGCTGTGGTGTTTCATATAATGTCATTTGACAAGATATACGTTATGAAAGGAGTGAAACGTTGAACTTAAAGTATAGTTTCCCAGACGTTATAAAAATATTTGACGAACAACATTTCATTAAAGTTTATTTGCTAAGTAAATGGCAGAAGACATAACTTATACTATTACGACTAAAAACCCTGAGTCATATAATTCTATAACAACAAACTTACAAAGTCCTCAAGGACGATATTGTAAACTAACCTTAAACACAATGACGACTAAAGCCTGTTTTGCTCTTTTGACACCAGAAGACTTTATTGTTGTGAATGGTAAAAAATACTCCTTTGAAGATACTTACTCAGATATACCACCAACAGGTTTTTGTTGACTTATTTAATACTTTAAGTACGGGTGTAACATGTGCTGCAACTAGAGCAGGTTTCATTATGTTTGGATGTCCGACTGAGTTTACTATAAACGATATGAGCTATAATACAAAACTTATTTCTGGTTTTTTACTACCAACAGTTTCCTATAACAGGAAAAGGTGTCATACAAGGAATATCTATTCCATTGACATTAAGCACACCAATCTTATATATTGTTTCAAACTTAGGTTCAAGTGTTTTCGAATGTCGACAGAAACTATTATGACCAAAAGATACTTATGCGTATAAACAATACTTTCTTGCTGGTTTGCCTATTGTTCATTCGAATGCAGAATTTTCAACCTAGTGAACTCAAACACTTTGGCAAGTATAACGTTGACATTAGTTGACGCAAACTTTGTTCTGTAAAACTTTTATGTCCTATGTATTTGTCAATGACGGCAGAAAGTTTCGAATTGGAAGATGCAACTGTGAAAGTATTGTATTACAAGAACAACTTCAACAACAAATAGCTCAAGAACAACAAATGCAACAAATGGAACAAATGGAACAAATGGAACAACAAAGTCAAGAATAAAAAAATAATATTTTTTTTATTTTATAAAATGTACAGAATAGATGTTTCAGATTTTTATGACTTCCAAAGCATTCAGAAATATGTGTCCATTCGAGACTATAACAAAGCAGTCGAGAATTTGAAACGTTTAGTCATTTATGTTGACTCTGCCCCAGAATGTTTATGTCATGAAAGAATGGGATGTTGTCTTTAACAAACCAAGAGCAACAATAGTGTCTGAACAAGAATGTAGACAGAAACTTAAGAAAATAAAAGTCGTACAAGTTGGCACGAAGATGTTAGATGCTTGGGATATCTTATTGTCAAAGTTTAGAAGATTTTTCAGTTCGAGGTATAAAGTTCTATACACCTTCTCCAAACTTCTATTCTATCTTCACTGGATATAAATATGAACAAGTAGAATGGAAAGAAAATATTATAGAAGCTTGGTTAGACATGTCAAAGAAATTATATGCAATGGAAACGAAAAGGTTTATGAGTATATCTTATGTTGGTTTGCAAACATCTTACAACATCCAAGTGCTAAAAATGAAACTGCTCTCATTATAATTGGAAAACAAGGAACTGGTAAGAATACTTTCTTTACAGATATCTTGTGCAAACTGTTAGAAGGTTATTCGAATCCGAAATTGACAAAACTTAGAAAACATCTGCGGTAAATTTAACTCTTCTATTTGAGAATATGAAACTTATAGTTTGCAATGAACTTCAAAGTATAGATACAACAAAAATTTGAACTCAGATGCTTGAAGTCTTATAACAGATAAAGTTGGAGTTGTTGAAAGAAAGTATAAAGACCAAAGAGTTTGTGAGAATGTTGAAACTTCATTATGGTTTCAAACAATGCTGTTCCGATGAAGTTAGAAAGTTCTGACAGAAGATATGTAGTTGTCAGAACGTCAGATTCTCATATGCAAGATACAGAATATTTTGACGACTTAGCAGAAACTTTGACATCTGACTTTTACAACCACTTGTTCTCATATTTCATGACATTAGATATTTCTAAGTTCAATCCAAGACAAATTCCACATACCGAAGAGAGACAAACATTGTTAGAAGCAAACAAGAGTGTATATGAACTGTTCATAGATGAAACTGACTTTGTGTCATTAGATGAAAGGTCATTGTACGATTCGTATAAACAATATTGTCAAGAATATGGTTATATGGCAGCTTCTAAACGAACATTCTTGGCAAATGTCAAAAGTCTTTTAGACGTACAGAATGGTGTATATACAAAGAAAAATTTTTCTGAGTAAATTTAAAAAAAAATATTTTTTTATCCGATAGAAAAGATGACGAAATTCATCTCAGTAAACAAGTACATGTCAGGACTTAAAGAAGAACTAGACCCATTCACATATTTGAATGTTTACTTCTACCATTTTGAAAAGTCTTCATTCAGCAAAGTTTGGAACATCGAACCAGTTAAGTTTGCTATTGTGACTAAAAATGGTGCGAAATTTGAAGACTTAGACATAGAAGGTTTGTTAACAGTCAAAGAAAGTTTTGACAGAAGGTTCTCAAACCTTAAAGAAGGCAAAGCATACAAACTTGTTATACCTTATGAACCAAAGAAAGCAGACGACTATGAATATTATGAGTCTAAAGTTGTAGAAGTTCAAGGTAAATTGGGTAAAAAGATTTTAGAGTCTAAGCCGGTGTTTGCTCCTAAAGAGGAAGAGAACATTGACATTGACCCAGAAATGTTCTAAAAATAAAATTTTATTTTTACATGTCAAGTTTCTTCTTCGGTGGAATTGGCTCTGGTTCTTTCTTCTCTTCTTCTACTTTCTTTTCTTTCTTTTCTTTCTTTTCTTTCTTCTTCTTTTCTGGTGGAGTTATGTCAAATTTCTCCGAACCATATTTCTGTAAAAGTTCTTTGTCCTTTAATAGCTCTTCTATTCTGTTTTCTATTTCATCTTCAAGAACAGCGCATGTGTCTTCTTTGCATTCTAAGAACTTTTGTTGGACTTCATCTTTCCAATCGGCGTCATCTCTGTCAACAAGTCTGTCATTGACAAATTTTAAGACTGCTCTGCTTAATGTTTTATGGTTCTTGTCATATTCCCAGAAACAGAACTTTAGAACAAATTCACCTTTCTTGTTTACACTATGTAAGATTTTATGGTCGACAGATGTTTTGCTGTCAAAAAGTTTGTCTCGAATATAGATAGCGAAATCGCTAGACATTTTCTAAAAGATAAAAATTTTAATTTTTCTAAAAATATGTTAGAAAAAAAGTTTGCTGACATTGACAAGAAATTTGAGAATGTTTTAAACAAGAACAAGAGGAAGTTAGAAAATGCTCAGATAAAGCCTATACATGACAAGTTCTTATTTGCTCAGAATGGTATAACAGGTCTAATTGCACCACCTGGGTCTGGTAAGACTTTCACTTATCTTAAAATGGCTGCACAACAACAAGAACTAGATGAGAAGAACCCATTCTATGAGTTAGTTGTCATTTGTAGTACTTCGGGTCAATTTGACCAAACCGTCAATTCGTTCAAAGATATTATAAAGAAGTCTAAGTTAGTATGTATAAAAGACTCTGAGTTGTTAGATTGGATAAAGAAGTACCAAAGAAGAGTTTTGAAGTATAATGCTATAAATGAGTATATAAATTCGAAGTTTAAAGACCCTAATGAGGAAATGCAGAGAATATTAGAGAAGAAACACTTCAGAAACAAACAGAAAGAGATAGAATACATTTCGAAGAAATTGCAATCTTACGATTGGAAGACTTACCCTCATAGATGTCTTCTTATCTTAGATGATTTCGCCTCTCATCCTTTGTTAAAGAACAGAGAACAAGATATGTGTCGAATTCTTAAGAAGCTCAGACACTTTAACATCTCAGTTGTCATTTGTGTACAGACAGCAAAGAGTTTAAGTAAGGATGTTAAAAGAATACTTACTGACATTGTACTTTTCCCCGGATTGTCCGAAGACGATTTCATGGAACTTATGAAAGAGTCCATGGCAGGTAAGTTTGACAGACATGAACTATGGGAGAAGTACAAAGTCATACAAGACCCTCATACTTCTTTCAGAATTCATATCTACGCAAACAAAGTTCAAATTGTAAAAAGTCAAGCTTGAAAAATAAATGGTTCATCTACCCTACTTGTTTGAAGTTGTCAAAATACTCTGTTATTTTTTCCTTCAGTAGCGGTAAGTCTTCTTTGAAGGTAAGTATTGTACAACCTTTCATATCATAGTGTGTTTGAGGTAACGTATCTTGAACTATTTGTTTCACATCTTCATTTGGGGTCATTGAAATCGGTAAGTTTTCGCGATAGAACCAATTTCTGTCAGATTTGTAAATCTTAGCAAGGTCGTAAAAGCTTTTGTTGTTTCTTCTGACTAAATGCAACATAACCATATCTTTATCTTCTTCATTTTCCATCTCTTCAGTATAAATCATATACTTATAGTTCTTTTCCTTACCTTTTGGTACCGAACGTGGTATTCTTTTCTGAATGCTTTTGTCTTTTGCTTCAAGCTTGTTTTCCATCTCTTCACGTTCTTGTCTATGAATTTCGTCAAGAAGTCTGTAAATATACCAAGCATAACGAGGCGAAGCCCACATTGCAACAGCATTTACAAGAAGTCTATGTACATAATATCCTCTCAAACCGTTTGGCAATTTTTCACGATTTTCATAGAGTTTTGGCGACTGCGGTTTTTTACTTACTCGCTGTTCTTCACTGTTTTCATAGAGTTTTGGCGACTGCGGTTTTTTACTTACTCGCTGTTCTTCACTGTTTTCAGAAAAAAGTATGTCTCGCTGTGCTTCGCTCAAAAGTTCTTGTGTGCTTTGGTTCCTAAACCAGTCTTGTGGTTTCTTAGTATCTGGAGCAAAACATGCTGTCAAAATACTTTGCATTTGGTACATATCGTCTTTGACCGAACGAATGAGACGGAGTTGTTTGTTAAACTGAACCCACTCATATTCTTCATTTATAGCTTCATGGACTATAACTGTTGTTGTGTTCTCTGTTGTTGACATATCTGTCTTTACATACAAAATAAAAAAAATATTTTGTTAGAAAAAAATTAGCGTTATTTTCTGACTTTCACAAAAGACCAAAAATAAACGCTTTACATGTATTTTTCAGCAACTTCGTCAAATAATTTTATAGCTTTATCTATCTCATCTACTTCAAACGTTTCTTTACCTTTTATGGGAGCACCATACATTTTCTCAAACTTTTCAAGTAGTTCTGTTTCTGCAGCTCTCATATCATTAACAAACACAACCTTGACTCTATTGACTGTACTGTCATATCTTTGAGTTATATTATATGTTCTTCCTATCTTATATCTCTTTGTATTGAAGTCCTTCGGTTTCTGAACGATGTAAAGTAAGCCTTCACTGCAACGTTCCGTATCGAATGAACCATATGTTATGAAGTTATATCCACCAACTGGGTCTAACCATAACAAAACTATTGGTATAAGACTTTTGTCGATGAGATATGCTGCAGTTCCATAGAATCTTACCGATATCATAAGCTCAGGATTTCTTGTCAAAATTTTCTGAGTTGAAGCATTTCTAACCCAGTCGTTTGTTTTCTTTCCAGATGGAGATATAATGTCTGACAAAGAATATTTGTTGTATTTCTTTGAGTATCTTACGTTTAAATCACCTATTCTAACCACTTTGGTGTCATTGTCTATCTTTCTAACTGTTTCAAACTCAATGTTTGACATATCTGTCTTTACATACAAAATAAAAAAATAAATAAAAATAAAACTAACTTTATTTTTTCTATCTTAAGGAAATTCATGAAAATTCAAGAGGGTAGAAATGAGGTTAGAAATGAGGTTAGAAATGAGGTTAGATCTAACCTCTTCACCTAAATTATATTTTTGGTGTAAATTTCATTGACTGACTGACTGACTGACGGCACAAAGTGGCTTAGCGAAAACATTAATATATAAAATTCATGAAAATTCAAGAGGGTGAAAAAACAGGTGAAAAAAGAGGTGAAATCTCACCTCTTCACCTAAATTATATTTTTGGTCCGGGAACAACTTTCTCTCAATTGGAGCTGTAGCATACTCTTTGCGTAAACGGTTCAGACCTTCTTCGAAGTCTTGGTCTCTCTTGGACTGAGATTGGAATTGCTGGGGTGGAGCTTGCTGGAACAACCAAGGGTTGGGGAAGTAAGGCATAGGCTGAGGAGGGTAGTTCGGGAAGCCTTGTGGTGGGTAGTAACCTTGAGGTGGAAATTGGTAGTAATTCGGAGGTACTTGCTGGAACTGAGGTTGCTGAGGAGACTGTTGTGGTTCTTTAGGTTCCTCTGGTTTGGGAATGGACTCGGTTGGTGGGACGTGGGACATTCGTTTGTGGCTTAACCGTCGGACCACAACGATAAAAATCTCTGCTACTAGCAGTACTGCTACTGACAGTAGCAGTACTTTTACTGACAGTAGCAGTACTTTTTCTGACAGTAGCAGTACTTTTACTGACAGTAGCAGTACTTTTACTGACAGTAGCAGTACTTTTTCTGACAGTAGCAGTACTTTTACTGACAGTAGCAGTACTTTTACTGACAGTAGCAGTACTTTTACTGACAGTAGCAGTACTTTTACTGACAGTAGCAGTACTTTTACTGACAGTAGCAGTACTTTTACTGACAGTAGCAGTACTTTTTCTGACAGTAGCAGTACTTTTACTGACAGTAGCAGTACTTTTACTGACAGTAGCAGTACTTTTACTGACAGTAGCAGTACTTTTACTGACAGTAGCAGTACTTTTTCTGACAGTAGCAGTACTTTTACTGACAGTAGCAGTACTTTTACTGACAGTAGCAGTACTTTTACTGACAGTAGCAGTACTTTTCCTGACAGTAGCAGTACTTTTACTGACAGTAGCAGTACTTTTACTGACAGTAGCAGTACTTTTACTGACAGTAGCAGTACTTTTACTGACAGTAGCAGTACTTTTTCTGACAGTAGCAGTACTTTTACTGACAGTAGCAGTACTTTTTCTGACAGTAGCAGTACTTTTACTGACAGTAGCAATGGTCGAGGTCGAACCTACCGACGAGGCAATTTACCTAATTGAAATTAACGAGCTTGTTAAAGACTTCCTCAGGCAGAATGTAAAAGGCAAGCTTGTCGCAATTCAATGGGTTCCAAATCCAGACAAGAAGACGAAGGTCAGACACATTGACGGTGACAAGCTCAACAACCGTAAGGAGAACCTCGAGTGGTTCTAAGAGTAAAAAAATTATTTTAGGGGGAAACCCCAAGTAAATTTAAGTTTTTATTTTTGGTATTCGTACCAATTTTGGAATGTGAAGACCACATCCCAACCTCTGTACGTGAGTCTTGGGTCCACGTCTAAGACCCTTCTGTAGCAATTCCAAGCCCGAGCAAATTCAATTGTCAACCACTCGTCTCCTCTGTAGTCTTCAATCCATTCTTTGAAGAGACGGTCGAGTTCGGGCTTGGAATATCTCTTGCCTGGGTCCGAGACCAACATTTGGTTGAACTGGACGAAGCGCTCAGGGATGTACGCCATTAAAAAAATGTCACTTTTTTAAAAATAAATTTTTTACTTCATGCAATGTTTAACTATTTCACCATCTTCTTTAACACCCCAGTACTTACGCTTGGAGAGGACATGAACTTCGGTGAAAATTTTGTCCAATTTGAATTGACCCATCTTCTCACCGACTAAACCCATTTCAATGAGTTTGTTGTACCCTTCTTCGTTCGTCATGAGTGCGTCAATGTTCTCATAGTAAACCTTCACTTTGGATTTGACTTCGGAGAAGAATTTGTTGTACTCGTCAAGGACTGCTTTTGCGAACTGAGGGTAAGACCAATGTTCGACAATAGGTTTTAATGTGGTTACTAAGCCACTTTGACCTTGAGTGAATTCGTACTTCAAAACAAAAGGAGAAAACCTTTCAACAAAGTTGTCGACCTTCTCATAATGTTTACTCTTCATCTCTTGAGGTTTCTTAATGGAATATCCCATGTCGAATTCATAAGCAATTTGAGTGTCATTGCAAGTTTGGGGTTTGAAGCTTTCCTAATATCATACAGTTGTTGTATGACTTTTCCAACTGTATAGTTCCTTCCCGGGAACTCACCATCTTCGTTTGGAATTCCAGTCGGAATATATTGGACAAACCTCATGTATGCAGCGTTAAGGTCGACATAGTATATCTTTTCGTTTGAGTCGAACTTGTCGCAACCAATTGGTCCAGTTTGTGGAAATTCAAGTGAGTCTCTTATCTTCTGAGAAACTTCTCCTGTTATCTCATAAACATCGTCGAAGCAACCTGTTTCATATAAAACCTTCTGACCTAACTCAGATGCTCTCCAATACAATTTGACGTCAATTGGATGTCTCAATGGAAGTTTGTTTATAGCATCTTGAAGTTCTTGCAACCTCATTGGAAGTTCTTCTGGTTCAGGTTGGTATCCGAACATACCAACTCCTTGTGGAACTGTGTACTTCTTTTGTACTAGAACTTTGTCTGGAACAACTTTTGGTCTTGCTAACAATGAAAAGTTTGTTTCGTCTTTTGGTACAAAAGTTTCTGTCAGCTTGTCATCTGGAATTGGTTCCAACAAACCTTTCTCGAAAAGAATGTTTACAGCTCTGACAATGTTGCACTTGCCTTTTCCGAACAATGGGTTTGTAAGACTTTCGTTCAACATGAAGTGGTTGTGGACAATTACAATCTTCAACCATGGTAAATTGAACTCAACAACATAGTCGTCATGTGAAGAACCTTTAGCTGTAGGTATGTTGACTCGGATATTGACATTTGCCAACGGTGCAATTTTTGCCAATTGACCTCTGAGAATGTACCTTGTCTTCACACATGACTCAAGATACTTCATCTTCTCATCTGTAACAAGACCAGAGTTCCTGAGACATGTAAGAATGCAAGGTTCATTGACAATTGTTTCAATTGAATTGTAAATTCCATACCTTGTCAAGTCAATGTCAGACTTATTTATGAACGGGAAGTATCCAGCATGTTGTCTGACTGCTTGAGGGTTAGGTTGGTACCATTCGAACTTGACACTTGCAATTCCTTCAATTGCATTCAAAATGTCTGAGTCGGAGTCAACCATTTGTTCTCTCTTTGTAGTCTTGAAAGCGTCAAGAAGTTTTGCGGCTGTTTGTTCATTGCCATGTGCATAGTAAATGTGACCATCCAAATCCGTTATGGTCAATCTGAGATTGTGTCCTTTCTTATTTCCGTCTTGAATTGCAGCAAGTACTCCCATGAAGCCTTCTTTGTTCTTTCCTTCGTCAAAGTTTACTGTAAAGGTTCGACCAGATGTAATTTGACTTCTAACTTCACGATACTTTTCATATGCATATCTTGTTCTTTCCATGGGAGCATGTGTGTCTTCACCTTTTCCTTTTTTCCTTCTCAAAGGATGCAATTGTTCGTCATGTTTCCAGTAGAATCTGGCAAAGCCGTCGTGTCCTTCAACTTGAGGTTCACTAACATCGAAAGGCATGTCCATAAGACGTTCTTCTTCTAACCTCTCTAGTCTGTTTGGATAATTGGCACGTGCTGTTTCCAAATCCATTTCGTAGCGAAGACCAGACAATTTGTCATAGACTTTTATGGGTCTTCCCTTCCTATATTTAAACTTCTTCGAAACTCTCCAACCATATCTTTGCAACTCTGCTTTTATTCTAGCAGACTTTCTGTCCATTCTATATGGGGGCATTTTTATAAAAATAAAAAAATATTTTTTTCTTTACTTTACATAACTGCCTGCTGCCATAAGTCTTTGACGCCAACCCATACCAGCTAATGAAGGTTGACTTGGTTTAGTTTCCAAACTAAACTTTGGTTTTGGTTTATCTTCAGTTTTTGGTTTTTCTTCTTCTATCGGTTTTTTGTCACTTTTCGGTTCCTCTGACTTTACTTCACTTGCAGGAACAGTTGTGTCGTCAACATCTTCATAAATATCATATGCCATTTGTTTTTGTTTTCCTTTCAACTTTTTGTGTTTGTTGTAAAGTTTAGAATATTTCGACTCTAAGTCAATGAGATGTTCTATAATGAACTGTTGGTCAGTGAAGTAAACTTTTCCATCTGTTGTCTCGAAAGCTCCTTCAGACCTCAATATTTTATTTGTGAGAGTCTGTTTCTTTTTTGAGATACTAGCCGTTCCATTTCTATGAAAAGTGACTTTATAGTTAGGGTTTGTATTTCCAGATCTGGCACTTTCTATTATTGAATTTTTCTCTTCATCTGTAAGTTCTTTGACAGGTTTTGACAATGGTTCTGAACTTTTTGTTTGTGGTGTCAAATCTACCGTTTCAACTTCTTCGGTCATTTCATCTCAGTAAAAAATTTTAGTTTGGTTTGTTTTCAACTGGTTGTTGTTGTTTTTTAAGTCGGTCTAAAACTTCCTGAGGTATAGGAAGAACTTGACAAACACGTGGTGTAACTGCTGGAAGCCGACAAATCCATCTTGAACTTATTTGTCTCAATGCTGCATTGTTCATTTCATCTCAATAAAAAACTTTACATTCCCCACGTTTGAGGCGGTTGAGGTTGGTTATTGTTTACCCACTGTTGTGCATAGTTATATCCTCTGTTAAAGAATCTTTCACCTTGGTCCATATAGTGTCCTGCTTGGTTATAGTAGTCATTTGCTTTGTTATAATAGTTTCCTGCTTGTCTTCCTACATTGTCCATCCATCCTTGAACTTTTCCTCTTGTTTCAGGATTTGGAATAAGATTTGTTGCATCTCGTGCTACATCCCAACCTTTCTGTACAGTTTGTATAATAGGTTGTGCTTTCTCTTTCAGTATACCTAATGTACTCAAATCTTCTTTCCAATTCCAAATGCACCTCTGGCTATTGTTCCACTGCGGGCAAAAATCTGGATGCAACTCCTGCTAATGCGCCAAATAAACCCATTTCTTATATGGTAAAAAATGACGAATCCGAACAAGGACCCTATGTTTCTAAAGCGACAAAGAAAGCACTCATGATAAAAATCTTTAGTTCAACACCAAATGCTTGGTTTATGGATATCTTGGAAAACATTCCGAGAGTTAGAACAGATGGACCTCCATACTGGTTAATATTTGTTGGTCAAAACACAAGATACTGTGAAGCCATACCATTATGGTCCAAAAATATTTTAGATGTAAAAACTGCTTTGACAATATTCGTTGACAAATACCATCCAACAAAACTGACATCTGACTGTGAAAGTTCTTTCAAATCAGATGATGTAAAAAACTATCTGCGTTCAAAAAATGTAAACCAATATTTCATTGTCGACCAAAACCATTCTGCTCTTGGTGTCATTGACGGTTGTATAAAAATGTTAAGAGACTTAAACCAACCACAAGGTGGTGAAGCAAATGAAATGTCATATGACGACAAATATAGACACTTCTCCATGGCAAAGATGAGACAAGTTTTAAATATTTACAATAACCGTAAACAAAAAGGTTTGGGAAACCACTCCCCCGAAGAAATGAAAAACAACCCTGACTTAGAGAAAGACTATATATTTAATAATTTAGTCAAAAGAGACAAACAAGAAAGAATGCCGGGCTTCAAACTTCAGAAAGGTGACAAAGTAAAAATAGAAATACCTAAACGCGACCCATATGAAAATACTATTGACTATGACAACAATGGGAACCCGACAGGTACTCACATTCGTGTTCGTAAAAATAGAAGAAAGTATACAAGAGAATATTATGAAGTTTTAGGCAAACATGGCAAAATGTACACACTGCAAGCAGAAGATAAAACTACTATTGTCAGACCTCGTTTCAAACTTGTCAAAGTTCAAGGTGGTATACTTTCAAAGACAGTTCCTAACAAATATAAGACAACTCCTGACGAATATGCTAAAGAAGTTGAAAATGACGACTAAGCAATTCTATACCATGCGTAAACTGTCATGTAAGGTGGCATGTATTCTTTACTTTGTCCCGTTGTATGTGTATATCCTGTAACGTGATGTGTATGGTTTCCTCCTCCCTCAGTGTTACTCCAGTAACAATTTATAGCAAACTGAACGTTGTCTTTAACATCATATCCTTTACCTTTTGTCATTGCTGACCAATCCCAATATCTATGCTTATGCCAACCTGCTTGAGATGTACTTAAATCTATGTAGTGACTGTGCGCAGGTAAATTTTCACCTGAAATCGTTTTACTTCCACCTGTTTCCTTTGAAGAGTTTGCACAATACAAAAACCTGTCGACTATTTGAGTCCAAGTTCCAAAACCAAGTACTACTTCTGGTCTGGTAGAGTTCATTGAAACATATAATGAGCCAACCGGGTAAATAAGATTCGGCAAAATTTGTTTAAGCACATTGAGTTCCTGTCTTAGATGCATAATACTATTGTCATTAGATATCAAAGTATCTACTAAGACTTGTTGCCGGTGGTATTGTTGGACTTTATTTGGCAAGGTTGTGTTTAGTGTAATATCATCTGCTGTAAAAGTTTAAAACTTGTATGTGTATGAGTCTTATCTGCTTTCTTCTCTAACTCATCGTTAACATAAGTTTTATCTGCTTTAAGGTCTAAACATCCTGAAACCCATCCTGTATCAGCTTTACTTTTAAAAATCTTCGATGTCCATTCATGATACTATTCAACCCTTTCTTTAATTTCATTATCTTTTTCATCCACATATTCCTTATCCGCTTTCTTCTCTAACTTACTAGCCACATATTCCTTATCCGCTTTCTTTTCAAGGCTAACGTTTAAGTCTGTTATTTCAGATATAGAATGTGTATGTCCAACGGCACTTTTCCTGTTTAAGGTTTCTTGTAAGTTTGTAATATCAGATATAGAATGTATATGAGTCTTTTTAGAATATTCGTTTTCAGCTCTTGTCACTTCACTTGACATTTTATTGTCAACATATGTTTTGTCTGCTAGTTCAGGATGAGTATGTTCTTTTGTTGCATAAGCATTGTTAGCTCTTTCTTCTTCTTTTGCTATTGCATCGTCTACATATTCTTTGTCAGCTTTGTTGTCAACATCTGCTTTCAAAAGAAGTTCATTTATAGGTTTTCTCGTTTAAAGTTCCTTTTGTTGGATTTATACAGACAGTATTGTTCTTCTTGTCTTGAAATAGAAACTCATCTGTCATTGGGTTTAATGTCAGTTTTAAGTTTCCTTCTTTCAATGACTCAGATATCTTAGAATAGTTTGAAAAGTTTGTTGTGTTCTTATTTAGAGCTTGCATAATGAGTTGTCGGTTGTGTTGTATTTCTCTTATGGAAGCAATATCTTTCGACATTTTTATTCTAGATAAAATATGCTTCCAATAGAAAAAGAAAATTCAAGAGTTGCTACAACTAAACCATTAGATGAACTTTTTACTAATGTCGGTCAAAAGGTTGACATAGACAATCTAAAGCATGAAGGCTATCGTTTTGACTACCCATTAAGATGGTTAAGAGACCCATCTGTCACAAAAGCTATTGGCTTTCGAAGAATGAAGTTTGTCTCACAAGTTCAAACAGGTTTTCCATTTATTGTAAGGTTTCATATAGATTATACATCTGAAGGGCAACGAAAAATGTGGGAAGAAATTGAGCTAATACAAGTTGACCTCTCATCTTCTCTACAGACTGCATTAAAAAATATAGAAGATAAAATAAATTCATGTTATGCAAAATATGCTGATGAATATGCGAATACCAATAGCACACTTTATGTGAGAATTGTATATGACAAACAAAATTCACAAGTGTCATTTCAAATCTACGAAGACAATCCAAATAAAGACGAACAAATATATATAGAATTCACTGCAATGTCATGGCATTATTTTGCAAAGAATGTTAAATCAGAAAGTTGAACTCCTTTAGCAAATATCTACAGTCGATATGCAAGAGATGAACCATATTTATTTAAAGATGTTTTTCGACCAAGATGCTGTGATAGTTCATGCTTCATTTTCTGGCGCCCAAAACTCTTTCTTATGCTTGGCAAATGACTTTTACGAAAAACCTACAAAGTTATACGAACCACCAAGTGGAAGTATTTCAGACTTTCAAGTATGGTTTACTACAGATGGAAGAAAAAGAATAATTCCATTATACCATGTGTTTTACTTGAACTTAGTTTCATAATACAACTACTATCGAACGGTAAAAATATAATTTTTTAATACGGTTGAGGTGTTGGATTTGGTTGCCAACTAGACTGTGGTGCAGGTTCAGGCTGTTGTATAACAGGAGCTTGTTCTTCTGGTTCAGGGTCTTTTAGGTATAATACAACAAACTGACCTACTCTTTTAACCAATATTTTTGACTCCGTTCCATACTCCTTTCCGACAGATTTTATTCCATTCCATATACTCTCCAACTCTTCTGAAGAAGTTTCCAATACTACTGAAGAAACCCATTTTACTATATGTAAAAATCTAATGTCCGCCTAGTCTCTTACGTTTCCTGTTGAGTTCCATAGCATTCTTTAACTGGAGCTCATACATTCTGTTTCTCCTCTGGTAGAAAACATATTCTGGGTCAACTCCTGTGTTCGCGTCATCTGCATAAAGTTGTTTATATCCCACTTCAGGGTTTGTATAAAACTCTTTCCATCTCATATTTGCATACCATGGTGGCAAACCTAACGCAGCGTCATTTGACATGGCAGTTTGCATTTGTACATCTGTTGGCACTTGACCATAGTTTGCCATTGCAGTTTGTATTCTAACTTCATTTGGAATATTCTCTGGGTTTGGTTGTCCAGGTTTGCTGTGCATTCGCTAAGTCTGTGCGTCCATTTAATATTAGATAAAATATCTCTTACGAGTACATTACTGAACATTTGCAGGCATTGGTTCATCTTCATATTCTCTGTACTTTTCGGCCACGTCAAATAAATAAATGACACAATGGAAAAAACCTAAAACAAGTAGTCCTATTTCAAACCACATTTACTTACTAATAAAATTTCTTTATTGTGACACTTTCTCCAGTTTATAGGACCTCTCTCATATTCTATCTTGTCATATCTAAACTCATAGTCGTTTATATCTTCTAGCCATTTCATGACACTTTCCAAACCACTTTTATCGGATGTAAAGTAAAAGCATGGATGGTTATGTATAACGTCTAAAGTTTCTAAAGAGTCTCTCAAAGTCCAGTCTACTTGGTATTGAAAAAATCCCATGTGTTATAGAACGGCGGGTCCACTATAAAGAAAAACATTTTTCCTTGTCTTTATATTTTCATACAACTCTGTCCAATGACACTCTCACAAACTCTATACCCTCAATATATTTTTCTATGTCCTCTTTGAAAACATTTGTATAGTTAAGATTATAAAAACTTTTGACATAAGTGTTTCAATGTCATGAACTCTTATAGCACCACTATATAATAGTCTAGCAGATATACTATCCAGTCTATATATTCTGCTTTTTTCAAAACCTCTCTCACAATATTTTTGTTATCTAATGGTATACGTTCCATCTTACCTATAGGTATCTTTTCTTTTAACTCTTTCAATATATTGTTTGTGTCTGGAATATGTTTGAGACGGTCCATATAGTTGTCGAAGTCATTGCATATAATCTTTGAGTCTGGGAATATTGTATGACATAAATGGGATATATAGAAACTTCCACCGAACAAATCTACAAATGTTAGACCATTCGGTAGTTTCTTAAGTTCTCTCAATATAATATCTTTACATCTACTCTTATTTCCAAAGAACGGTAACGGCGGTTTTGTAAAATTCATTTATATATAATAATAAAAATGTTTTACCTGAAAAGTGACAGAAAAGTGACAAAACATGAAACATATATAATTTGTGAAAAGCGACACATTATATAATGTTTTCGACCCAGAAGAAGGCTTCTTCCCAGAAGCAATGGAGGAGGAAATACAAGACTCTATCCAAGAAGAGTCCTCCGAATTCACACCAGAAGACTAACAATTTTCCGAATAAAAACTTCATTTATACTAAACATCTTCGGGGCTAGAGGGCGCAACGCGCCTGGAAGCCCCACTCACCTGACCTTCAATGCTTTATAGAGTTTTATTTCTTTTCATATTTATCATTGTTTTATGAAATTCTCTCGATATTGATAAATGCCCACTTAGTATTGCAATCGAATCTAATTCAAAGGAAATCGTCAAATTCTTAGTTGAGCATGGTGCAAATGTTAACATGAAACTTATTCTATTTCTTTTCATATTCATCATTGTTTTATGTAATTTTCTTTCTTTTCATATTTTTTATTGTTTTATTATATTATCTTTCTTTTCATATTTATTATTGTTTTACATCATTCTCTTTCATTTCATATTTATCATTGTTTTATAAAATTTTCTTTCTTTTTATAATTATCATTGTTTTATGAAATTTTCTTTCTTTTTATATTTATCATTGTTTTATTACATTATCTTTCTTTTCATAATTATCATTGTTTTATGAAATTCTCTTACTTTTCATATTTATCATTGTTTTATCCCATTCTATTTCTTTTCATATTTATCATTATTTTATAAAGTTTTCTTTCTTTTCATATTTATCATTTTTTATCAAATTCTCTATCATTTCATATTTATCATTGTTTTATTGGATTCTCTTTCTTTTCATATTTATCATTGTTTTATGAAATTTTCTTTCTCTTCATATTTATCATTGTTTAATAACATTCTCTTTATTTTCATATTCATCATTATTTTATGAAATTCTCTAGATATTTTTGAATGCCCCCTTGGCATTGCAATCAAAGAAAATACAAAAGAAATTGCCAAATTCTTAGTTGATTGTGGCGCCAAGAATTTAAACAATTCTTTTTCTAATAGCACCATTCTATATAGAAAGAAGTATAATAATATCAACATTATGTAATAATAAATATTTCATAATAGTAAATTAATTTTAAGTTTGAAGATGGTGAGATATTTCGGTGAACAATAACCACATTTAAACTTGTTTCCAAATTATTATTTCCCACTATACGATATGCCCAATAATATAGCTTTATTTTTGGATATTGATCTTTGGTGATACTTGCAAAGCATCAAAATACAATTTAATGTGAATTTTTTAGGATATGATAAATATTTATGAAATATAATATCTCTGTGTAACCACAACTGAGATAATATGTTTAACTGTTTGAATATGCCCTTCTTCTGATTCATTAATGGGTGAAATATTTCCATTTTTGAATATTGAAAATGTACCATGAACTCTTTAAAAATATGAGTACAAAATTTTTGACAAAAAAAATGCAGAATTTTGAGTTTTTTTTCCAAAAAAATGATTGCTGAGGTCCCAGATCAATATATAGAAGCGGCTAAGGTGGCTACTTTTCAGCAATCTATTAAGTGCGATAATGTTCTTCAGTATGTTGCGCTTCCAGATGGAAGTACGTTAATCAATAATAAAATCTATATCGAAATTCTATCATCAAGTGTCACGTTTTTCCCCTTGGGACACTTGAATGTCCAATGATTATAATTATAATTATCCATTATTTTTTCATATTTTTTATTAAGGGCGCATTTACCACTTTCTGACATTCTCTCGATTTTTTGACATATACTGAGATTAATGCATTTTTGCACTTCCAGCTTTTAAAAATTTTGTATGATTTTTGTATGTTTTTGATAACCTGATATCCATAAACATCATTTTTACTTAGTTTAAATATGATGCCATGATACATCATAACTAAAGGTTTAGACTCATATAAGTCAATTAAAATATAAATGATTTTATGTGCATGAAAAGTAATGTTTTTATAGTAGTTTTCAGTTCACTTTTCTGCCACTTAAATTTTTTTGTTCCCTCTCGTGTAGGCCCTACGAATTGGAATTTTATAAAAACTTACTATGTGGTAATATTCTGCCAAAACTAATTTTTTTTGGTAACAATGGATTGATGAATTAAAATTTATTCAAAAAAAATCTTTATCTTTTGCAACAATGATTGAGAGATAATAACCAAATATATCAAGAAATTATTTTCTTGCAATTGATAATAAATATTCTCTTACTGCTGCTTCCGAACAATCAAGTGCTGTTTTTCCATCATTAGTCTTTGCTCTTTTATTAGCTCCAACTGAGATAAGATATTTAACAACTTCAAGTTTACCATATTTTGATGCATTAATGAGTGTAGTCCATTCAGAATTATCCTTTGCTTCTTTATTAGCTCCAACTGAGATAAGATATTGAACAACTCCAAGTTGACCATAATATGATGCATAAATGAGTGGAGTATTTCCATAATAATTCTTTGCTTCTTTATTAGCTCCAACTGAGATAAGATATTGAACAACTCCAAGATGACCATAATATGATGCATAAATGAGTGGAGTATTTCCATAATAATTCTTTGCTTCTTTATTAGCTCCAACTGAGATAAGATATTGAACAACTCCAAGATGACCATAATATGATGCATAAATGAGTGGAGTATTTCCATAATAATTCTTTGCTTCTTTATCAGCTCCAACTGAGATAAGATATTGAACAACTCCAAGATGACCATAATATGATGCATAAATGAGTGGAGTATTTCCATAATAATTCTTTGCTTCTTTATCAGCTCCAACTGAGATAAGATATTGAACAACTCCAAGATGACCATAATATGATGCATAAATGAGTGGAGTATTTCCATAATAATTCTTTGCTTCTTTATTAGCTCCAACTGAGATAAGATATTGAACAACTCCAAGTTGACCATAATATGATGCATAAATGAGTGGAGTATTTCCATAATAATTCTTTGCTTCTTTATCAGCTCCAACTGAGATAAGATATTGAACAACTCCAAGATGACCATAATATGATGCATAAATGAGTGGAGTATTTCCATAATAATTCTTTGCTTCTTTATTAGCTCCAACTGAGATAAGATATTGAACAACTCCAAGATGACCATAATATGATGCATAAATGAGTGGAGTATTTCCATAATAATTCTTTGCTTCTTTATCAGCTCCAACTGAGATAAGATATTGAACAACTCCAAGATGACCATAATATGATGCATAAATGAGTGGAGTATTTCCATAATAATTCTTTGCTTCTTTATCAGCTCCAACTGAGATAAGATATTGAACAACTCCAAGATGACCATAATATGATGCATAAATGAGTGGAGTATTTCCATAATAATTCTTTGCTTCTTTATCAGCTCCAACTGAGATAAGATATTGAACAACTCCAAGATGACCATAATATGATGCATAAATGAGTGGAGTATTTCCATAATAATTCTTTGCTTCTTTATCAGCTCCAACTGAGATAAGATATTGAACAACTCCAAGATGACCATAATATGATGCATAAATGAGTGGAGTATTTCCATAATAATTCTTTGCTTCTTTATTAGCTCCAACTGAGATAAGATATTGAACAACTCCAAGATGACCATAATATGATGCATAAATGAGTGGAGTATTTCCATAATAATTCTTTGCTTCTTTATCAGCTCCAACTGAGATAAGATATTGAACAACTCCAAGATGACCATAATATGATGCATAAATGAGTGGAGTATTTCCATAATAATTCTTTGCTTCTTTATCAGCTCCAACTGAGATAAGATATTGAACAACTCCAAGATGACCATAATATGATGCATAAATGAGTGGAGTATTTCCATAATAATTCTTTGCTTCTTTATCAGCTCCAACTGAGATAAGATATTGAACAACTCCAAGATGACCATAATATGATGCATAAATGAGTGGAGTATTTCCATAATAATTCTTTGCTTCTTTATCAGCTCCAACTGAGATAAGATATTGAACAACTCCAAGATGACCATAATATGATGCATAAATGAGTGGAGTATTTCCATAATAATTCTTTGCTTCTTTATCAGCTCCAACTGAGATAAGATATTGAACAACTCCAAGATGACCATAATATGATGCATAAATGAGTGGAGTATTTCCATAATAATTCTTTGCTTCTTTATTAGCTCCAACTGAGATAAGATATTGAACAACTCCAAGATGACCATAATATGATGCATAAATGAGTGGAGTATTTCCATAATAATTCTTTGCTTCTTTATCAGCTCCAACTGAGATAAGATATTGAACAACTCCAAGATGACCATAATATGATGCATAAATGAGTGGAGTATTTCCATAATAATTCTTTGCTTCTTTATCAGCTCCAACTGAGATAAGATATTGAACAACTCCAAGATGACCATAATATGATGCATAAATGAGTGGAGTATTTCCATAATAATTCTTTGCTTCTTTATCAGCTCCAACTGAGATAAGATATTGAACAACTCCAAGTGACCATAATATGATGCATAAATGAGTGGAGTATTTCCATAATAATTCTTTGCTTCTTTATCAGCTCCAACTGAGATAAGATATTGAACAACTCCAAGTGACCATAATATGATGCATAAATGAGTGGAGTATTTCCATAATAATTCTTTGCTTCTTTATCAGCTCCAACTGAGATAAGATATTGAACAACTCCAAGTGACCATAATATGATGCATAAATGAGTGGAGTATTTCCATAATAATTCTTTGCTTCTTTATCAGCTCCAACTGAGATAAGATATTGAACAACTCCAAGTGACCATAATATGATGCATAAATGAGTGGAGTATTTCCATAATAATTCTTTGCTTCTTTATCAGCTCCAACTGAGATAAGATATTGAACAACTCCAAGATGACCATAATATGATGCATAAATGAGTGGAGTATTTCCATAATAATTCTTTGCTTCTTTATCAGCTCCAACTGAGATAAGATATTGAACAACTCCAAGATGACCATAATATGATGCATAAATGAGTGGAGTATTTCCATAATAATTCTTTGCTTCTTTATCAGCTCCAACTGAGATAAGATATTGAACAACTCCAAGATGACCATAATATGATGCATAAATGAGTGGAGTATTTCCATAATAATTCTTTGCTTCTTTATCAGCTCCAACTGAGATAAGATATTGAACAACTCCAAGATGACCATAATATGATGCATAAATGAGTGGAGTATTTCCATAATAATTCTTTGCTTCTTTATCAGCTCCAACTGAGATAAGATATTGAACAACTCCAAGATGACCATAATATGATGCATAAATGAGTGGAGTATTTCCATAATAATTCTTTGCTTCTTTATCAGCTCCAACTGAGATAAGATATTGAACAACTCCAAGATGACCATAATATGATGCATAAATGAGTGGAGTATTTCCATAATAATTCTTTGCTTCTTTATCAGCTCCAACTGAGATAAGATATTGAACAACTCCAAGATGACCATAATATGATGCATAAATGAGTGGAGTATTTCCATAATAATTCTTTGCTTCTTTATCAGCTCCAACTGAGATAAGATATTGAACAACTCCAAGATGACCATAATATGATGCATAAATGAGTGGAGTATTTCCATAATAATTCTTTGCTTCTTTATCAGCTCCAACTGAGATAAGATATTGAACAACTCCAAGATGACCATAATATGATGCATAAATGAGTGGAGTATTTCCATAATAATTCTTTGCTTCTTTATCAGCTCCAACTGAGATAAGATATTGAACAACTCCAAGATGACCATAATATGATGCATAAATGAGTGGAGTATTTCCATAATAATTCTTTGCTTCTTTATCAGCTCCAACTGAGATAAGATATTGAACAACTCCAAGATGACCATAATATGATGCATAAATGAGTGGAGTATTTCCATAATAATTCTTTGCTTCTTTATCAGCTCCAACTGAGATAAGATATTGAACAACTCCAAGATGACCATAATATGATGCATAAATGAGTGGAGTATTTCCATAATAATTCTTTGCTTCTTTATTAGCTCCAACTGAGATAAGATATTGAACAACTCCAAGATGACCATAATATGATGCATAAATGAGTGGAGTATTTCCATAATAATTCTTTGCTTCTTTATCAGCTCCAACTGAGATAAGATATTGAACAACTCCAAGATGACCATAATATGATGCATAAATGAGTGGAGTATTTCCATAATAATTCTTTGCTTCTTTATCAGCTCCAACTGAGATAAGATATTGAACAACTCCAAGATGACCATAATATGATGCATAAATGAGTGGAGTATTTCCATAATAATTCTTTGCTTCTTTATCAGCTCCAACTGAGATAAGATATTGAACAACTCCAAGATGACCATAATATGATGCATAAATGAGTGGAGTATTTCCATAATAATTCTTTGCTTCTTTATCAGCTCCAACTGAGATAAGATATTGAACAACTCCAAGATGACCATAATATGATGCATAAATGAGTGGAGTATTTCCATAATAATTCTTTGCTTCTTTATCAGCTCCAACTGAGATAAGATATTGAACAACTCCAAGTGACCATAATATGATGCATAAATGAGTGGAGTATTTCCATAATAATTCTTTGCTTCTTTATCAGCTCCAACTGAGATAAGATATTGAACAACTCCAAGATGACCATAATATGATGCATAAATGAGTGGAGTATTTCCATAATAATTCTTTGCTTCTTTATCAGCTCCAACTGAGATAAGATATTGAACAACTCCAAGTGACCATAATATGATGCATAAATGAGTGGAGTATTTCCATAATAATTCTTTGCTTCTTTATCAGCTCCAACTGAGATAAGATATTGAACAACTCCAAGATGACCATAATATGATGCATAAATGAGTGGAGTATTTCCATAATAATTCTTTGCTTCTTTATCAGCTCCAACTGAGATAAGATATTGAACAACTCCAAGATGACCATAATATGATGCATAAATGAGTGGAGTATTTCCATAATAATTCTTTGCTTCTTTATCAGCTCCAACTGAGATAAGATATTGAACAACTCCAAGATGACCATAATATGATGCATAAATGAGTGGAGTATTTCCATAATAATTCTTTGCTTCTTTATCAGCTCCAACTGAGATAAGATATTGAACAACTCCAAGATGACCATAATATGATGCATAAATGAGTGGAGTATTTCATAATAATTCTTTGCTTCTTTATCAGCTCCAACTGAGATAAGATATTGAACAACTCCAAGATGACCATAATATGATGCATAAATGAGTGGAGTATTTCCATAATAATTCTTTGCTTCTTTATCAGCTCCAACTGAGATAAGATATTGAACAACTCCAAGATGACCATAATATGATGCATAAATGAGTGGAGTATTTCCATAATAATTCTTTGCTTCTTTATCAGCTCCAACTGAGATAAGATATTGAACAACTCCAAGTTGACCATAATATGATGCATAAATGAGTGGAGTATTTCCATAATAATTCTTTGCTTCTTTATCAGCTCCAACTGAGATAAGATATTGAACAACTCCAAGATGACCATAATATGATGCATAAATGAGTGGAGTCCATTCATAATAATTCTTTGCTTCTTTATTAGCTCCAACTGAGATAAGATATTGAACAACTCCAAGATGACCATAATATGATGCATAAATGAGTGGAGTATTTCCATAATAATTCTTTGCTTCTTTATCAGCTCCAACTGAGATAAGATATTGAACAACTCCAAGATGACCATAATATGATGCATAAATGAGTGGAGTATTTCCATAATAATTCTTTGCTTCTTTATCAGCTCCAACTGAGATAAGATATTGAACAACTCCAAGATGACCATAATATGATGCATAAATGAGTGGAGTATTTCCATAATAATTCTTTGCTTCTTTATCAGCTCCAACTGAGATAAGATATTGAACAACTCCAAGTGACCATAATATGATGCATAAATGAGTGGAGTATTTCCATAATAATTCTTTGCTTCTTTATCAGCTCCAACTGAGATAAGATATTGAACAACTCCAAGATGACCATAATATGATGCATAAATGAGTGGAGTATTTCCATAATAATTCTTTGCTTCTTTATCAGCTCCAACTGAGATAAGATATTGAACA